ACCCGCTATATACTTAACACACAATCTACAAGAAGAATGCATGGGAACTACAGTAGATAGTAATACCTAATGATGAAGGCAGAAGATTCATTAGTACACTACAATATACATGCACAACTCATGCAAGTAGTGCACGACAATCTATCTGTATGCAATGGGCAAATGACTAAAGTACAACGCCACACCATCCGATATGCAACCAATATACAAGCAGATAGAAGGCATGCACGAGCTCCCAAATAGAACGCTGCATTCAAACGGTGATCACCCACACAACAAAGCAGCGTTAAAAATCTCAAAATGCATCCACACATGCATCGTAGTTTGTATACACAGGCACAATAAAAGGGGTAAATACAATCATAACCCGCATGGGCCACGACGAGCATGTTATTAGTACACAAATGACGTCTAGGGATGCTGCACGGGTTAATAAGTGAATTCAAGTTCGAACCTGATCCTTATATGTGGATCAATAGAAGTCAACAAGGTTTGAACCATCAAATAAATATATGGTTGTGCCAACAAATATATTTATTTTAATACATTAATATTAGGCCTTCAAGGTTTATAATCAAGAGAATTCACTAATAAAGTCATAAAGCCTAAAATCCGATCCTCCTAAGCAGGTAAACAGGAGTCTACAGGGTTTGAACCTTCAAACAAATATACGGTTATGGTGACCGGTATATTTGTCTTAATACATTCATATTAGGCCTTCAAGACCTTTAACAAAAAAATTCATTAACAAAACTGCAAAGCCAACAACAAAATCGTTCCCTTATCGGCAAGTTGATAGGGTCGACAAGGTTTAGTCAATAGAAGTGACCCCAAACACCCCTATGATGGCTGTGTTGAATGCAGATCTCAATCAGAGGGGTTAATTTCAAATATCTCCAAGATGTCACCAAAATGTCCATCAAAATCCAAAACTTCACAAAGTCCAAAATCCAAATATCAAAAATTTCAAAACTCCAAGATATTTAAAATTGAAATCCAACCATAAAATGCTTAAAGCAAAATCCATCAACCATACGCAACTATTTGCTAGGGTGAACAAATTGAAATTCACTTCAGCTCACATAGAGCTAATGACTAGTTGAAAATATTATTAGGATCCATTCTCAAATAATCTTCTGTCAGTAAGGATGTGGTACGTGTCCTCTAACCGATAGTTTTGCCGCCAAATGGCACCGCAGGATAAACAGTTATGACTCAGGGTCCTCTGAACTGAGTGATTTTGCCGCTAAATGACACCATAGATAACAATTATGACCAAAGTCAATACGTTCCTTAGTGGTATCAAATCCTTGAGATATGAATCAGTAGGATATAATCGATAGGGTATAAAGCCCTCTGTTAGGTAAAGTGGATTCAAATTTGTCTCTTAGACAAAAATTCATCCCAGGTCTACATGGTCCCCTTAGACGAAGCAACTCATGACTGCCGATAAGAATCCTTCTGTCAAGTTTGGTTGACTACCTCCTCTAATTAAGTAGACCAGGAACCACGATGGCCTGGGATGACGAAACCATGGGATCTTGATCCGGTACATCATTCATTCTCCCAACATCCACTTTAAGTGCAAAGTGGTGAAATTTCTAATTTTAAATATCAATTCTCTAACTATTCCAATTGCCCATTGTTGCTACTATACGTTTGAAACTATGTATCTACAGATATAACATATCTGATTGACGACTAGACTTAATTGAAAGTTCTCTCTCGTTATCGGGAGGGGTAATTAATTATAGGGGCTTGCACCTATAGGAAACCAGAACTCAGATCATAAAGTCCTGGCAAAATGAGGTTGAAATCTCTGGGTAGTGTCTTATCTACAACCTTATCTGCCTTCCCAAAATTTCCCCCGGAATTTAATTCCGTTAAAACTCCTCACCGAAGAAAAAGCAAAGCGGGCGGAGGCCGGAGCCGGGGCGGAGGCCGGAGCCGGGGCGGGGCCGAATTTTTGGAGCCCACGACCTTAACTCTACTAAGCAAAATATTGATCCCCGTGAGTCTACAACCATCATAACTAATATGAATACACAAAATAAAAGTACTATCTCACCGTAGGTGTATTTGTTGCTGGAGTCGTACACTATGCACTTAGCTTCCTTGCAGAATTCAATATTTTGAAAAATTCAAATTTAAATATGTTTTATGCCACCTTTTATAAATACTTAACAAATTAATTATTTCCCTTTATGGCAAACCACTTGGCTATTATTATTAGAAAGGTAGAGATAAATCTAACAAGATTTGATTAGAAATTATTAGAAATGACCTTTCGTTATTAGATTTAAATGAGAATTTAACTTTTAACAGGGCACAATGGAGAAAAAAGATTCATGTAGCTCACCCCACATAGTAGGATAAAGACTTGATGATGTTGTTGTTGTTATATGGCAAACCACGTAGCTCTGTTAGTCATTCTTTTTTTTTTTGGGTTAAATTTTACAACATGTGATGACTAGTTTTTATTGATACGGTTAAGGGAGAGCTTTATGTCTTCATCCCAAACGGTTGAGGGAGATCTTTATGTTTTCTTTCCAAACATTGTTTTTTGTGCTTAGGAGGGCATCAAGAGGCCATTGGCACGTCCAATGATTTGTTTGTCCACAGCCACTACAAGGGGTGCCTTTTTTAGGGTTGCAAACCGGGTCAACAAGCCTTAACACATGCTTACTTCAATGTTGTGTTCTGGAATTGATCTTGATGTCAAAAGTAATGTTGATTATAAATTAAGCAAGTTAAATTTTTTCTTTTTTTAAAGGTGAGTTCAATGTTCCTTAAATACCTCCTGGGCATAGTCTATGCTTCTCTCATAGGTCAAGTGTCATTGTTTAGAAGATGTTGTGGTATTACATAGGAATTTATATGGCTTAAGGTTAGAGGTAGGTTTTCATTTTTTATTTTTTATTTTTTATTTTTAGTTTGGAAGGGCGTTAAGAGTGTTAATTAAAAGGGGATCAAAGTTTACTTGATATAAGTGATAAATTCATTTTCAACTAAAAGGCTCAAGTTTATGTGTGAGAATCATACACTTGTTCTTTTGTATGAACAAATCACCTATTCTATATAAGACTAGATCCAATCCTTTCACATGCTTTGATAAAAGAGTGGCGTAGGATTGGTTATGGGATGATAAAGAGGAGGTTGCTAGGATCTTGATTCAATTATCTTCAAGAAAAAAATATTATTGATAAAAGAGTGGCGTAGGATTTGTTTAGGGTTATGATCATATATGTGATGAGTTTATTTTCTAGGGTTTGGTGTGAGTTTCGTAGCAGTGGCTAGGGTTTGTTGGAGAGCCGATCTACCTCTCGAATAGTAGATCAATTGTATATTTCGTTATTGTTGAAGAAGTAATAAAAAATCAGCCTCCATATTTGTATTATTGCATTTTTTTTCTATCTATTTTGCTGTTTTTACTTCCAAGATGCATCAAACAGCTGAAAAGAGCTTGTATGATAATCTGAAATTTTTTGCTTAGAAGAGAATATCAAGTGTTCTGAGGAGCTTTGTTATAGAATGAGGTGAAAGAGGAAATTCCCTTAAAAAACTTGGAGAAGAAAGCTGAGTAAAAGAAATCTTGATTCAAATTTTAAATCAGAATTATATTTTTATTTACAGTACTTTCAATCTCTATTCATTGAAATAAGGTTAAATGGATAGTTCAAAACTAATTGAAATTTAAAGATAAATAATCCTATAATTATAATGATCCTAAAAGAGTAGTAATCTAAATATTGGAAATAAAACACATTAAAAAGGGGGAAAAATCTAGAAATAATAATAAATAGCTAAAATAATTCAAAATAATCTTGATGTGATAAGCATGTCTTGCAAATATATCGATAGATTCCTGTAACGAGTCCTTTGCTAAATTTATTGTAGCTTCGTAGATTATTTTTTTCGCTGATCCACAAGTGCGTTCAATTTAAGTTTGACCAAAGCAATGGCTTGCTTAAGAATATCAAAATTGAACACTTGCATGATAAAAGAAGCTTCAACATTACTTTTAAAAATCATTTTTTGCCAACTTTTTTTGGAATCCTTTGAAAGTATTTAGTTCTGTTCCATGATAAGTAGCATGGAAAAATTTCAGTTGTGATGCTATGGAAGACATTATTTTATCTAGGAGAATTGATGAATATATTATGCTGATTTGGATTTCTCTTTGTTTATTTTTGCGTCTCTTGGTTGAAAATTTTCAGTATTTGCTTATACTCTCTTGACATATGCATGCTCCCCACTCATGAGAACTAAAACTATGTGAATTAGCTTTCTTGATTTGTGGATTCTTGTGAGCATTTCGGTGGGTGTGACGATCATTTGTCTTTTTTGGTTGGAGCAATCATGATTAAGGCTTTGGGTTGTATAAGCTAAAATTAGAAGCACTAAGGGCATTGTCAGGGTGTTTAGAGTGAATGATTATCACAAATTGCAATAATTAAATAATGAATTAATAGTAAGAAATCTGTTGATAACACTGATAAATATTCATCTTTATGATGGAACAAATGTTTACTGTCAGATTTAGTAGCAAATGTTGCCTATATATATATATATATTGCCCACTGAAAAATCCACAAGATGGGAGTTTTATTATGATGTTGGTAAGGATCCAATCTAAGTCTTTGATAATAAGTTTTAAGGTCCTCGCCAATCTAACTAGTTAACACCCATAACAAATGATGCTTATTGTTTATGAAGTTATCTTTATCTAAGGATATCTTTTCAAAGAAAATGGAAAGTTGGCACTAGTAATTGTCTGCTTTATGTGTGTTCTCCAATCCTTTATATTTTCATTATGCAAAAATTGAGTAACACTTATTGTTAGAATGCTTCTTCGCTTCTACTTTTTTTTTTTTTGCATGAATGTCATATCTTTTATGTGTAGTTTCTCACAGCTTGCTGTTATTAACTGTTTTGGCTTGCAAAATATTCCTTATGATTGTTATTCTTTCGTGGTACTATTGCAAATCCAATTATTACAGGGACAGCGGATGGCACTCGTTGCATGTGGGTGGCGCCACACTATAACAGTTTCCTCCTCAGGGGCTCTATATACCTACGGATGGAGCAAGTATGGTCAACTAGGGCATGGGGACTTTGAAGACCATCTCATTCCGCATAAATTGGAAGCTCTTAAAGATTGTACAATATCTCAGGTCTTATGCTTGATTAAATATTTTCATTCTGTTTGTTTTTTTTATGTTCCGCGGTTATCCTGGTAACTGTTGAATATAACAATATGTTGAATTCCTTCATTTCTGAAAAGGTGAAGTGTTAAATACATGCTTAATTTAATTCCTCCATATAATTTTAAAGAGATGTCATTGACTTCATTAATACTGCCGTTGCCAGGTCCCAAGTTCTGGATGAGAAAAATGGAGGGTTACGTTAGGTAGTCAACAGCTAGCGTAAAATTTGTCGAATAATCATGATATGAATCATTTAATGCATTGTGTTAATGCGAGGGCGTTCACTGGAAGTGACACATTGTATGACCTGAATACAACAAGTGAGCAAGGGCCGCTGCATCGACGCTTGTGTGCAATGTTAAATAGGCAAGAGATCCTACATCATGGATGCATGTGAGAAAAGAAGCTAGTCCATGATCCTAAAATTAGGATAGAAAGTTGGAAGATAAGTTTCCTTATAGGAAGATTAATATAATTAATATATATTATGATCTATATGAAGATTAATATTTTTTGCATTCAGGAAATTGATAGGAAATACTTGAGTTCGCAAGTAACCCTAAGGTAATACTTGAGTTCACAAGCAATCCTAATCCCAACCAGTGAAAATCTAACAGTGAAACTGCTGTCCACAGCAGTTTAACAGCAGAAAACACAGAAAAATCTGAGAGAAAAGCAGTAGAACTCGTAGGGAAACGAAGCAAACACTTTTATTTCAATAGAAGATGAAAAGCACTTGCAAGATACAACTTTCCTTCAATTCGAGAGGAAGGAAAAACTCTCCAACCCCTCTGGCAAAGTCAAGATCCCAAGAACATCAAACCCTAGATCTCAAGATAATTCAAATTCAAGATAACTCTAAATCCCTCCAAAACTCCTAATTAAAGACAAAGGAATAATTCAAAATGCTTAAACAACCCTTAGTTCAAAATATTTTCCACCTAATCTTGCATTGAGCCCATGGTGGGCTCCACAAAGCTTCCGTCCCCAACATGGGGTTCCGCCTGGGTCTTTCTTCGTCTGGAGTAGACCCGGACCGGTCCCTCCTTGACCGGTCCAGTCGGCCCTTCCTGTGCCGGCGTAACATTACCGCCATCCCAAAGAATAACCTTGTCCTCAAGGTGAAAATCAGGGAACTGCTGCTTCATCCCCCCGTATGGCTCCCACGTATTCTCGTAGTCAGGAAGGTTCTTCCACTGGATCAACACCTCCTTAGTTTTATCTTCTTTCTAGCGAACCCTTTTTAGCTCCATAGGTTCTAGAATCACCTCTAACTCCTCAGTCAGGGTTGCTAGTAGCTCGGAATTGGCGGTGTACTCCCCAATGGCTTTTCTCAATTGTGATACGTGAAAAATTGGATGTATAGTTGCCGATGGAGGTAGTTTCAATCTGTATGCTACTGTCCCAATCTTCTCCAGCACTTCATATGGCCCAAAATACCTTGGAGCCAGCTTTTCAGTCCTCCTGTTGGCAACTGTCTTTTGTCTATATGGTCGGAGCTTTAGAAACACCCTCTCTCCTGCTGCAAACTGTATGTCCTTCCTATACCCATCCACTTGCTTCTTCATAATTTGCTGTGCTCTTAGCAAATGTCTCTTTAGCTCTTCAAGTACTCGGTCTCTCTCCTCTAAGTACCCTTCTGCTGACGAAACAGGGGTGCTGCTACTCCCAAAATGCACCAAGTGTGGGGGATCCCTTCCGTACAACACCTTGAAAGGGGTCATCTGTGAAGCAGAATGAAACGATGTGTTGTACCAATATTCTGCCCAGGATAGCCACTTAGCCCATAGCTTGGGAGTTTCTGACACAAAACATCTCAGGTACGTCTCCAAGCTCCTGTTGACTACTTCTGTCTGGTCGTCCGTCTGCGGGTGGTAGGCTGTACTCCTTTTTAGAACTGTCCCTTGTAACCTGAACAACTCTTTCCAGAAATGGCTGAGAAACACCTTATCCCTGTTTGATACGATCACCTCTGGTACTCCGTGCAGTCTGATCACTTCCCTGATGAATACTGAAGCTACTGTCACTACGGTGTAGGGTTGTCTGAGTGGAATGAAGTGTGCATATTTGCTCAGCCGGTCCACCACTATCAGTATCACTGTGAATCCTTCTGAGCGGGGCAACCCATCTATAAAATCCATAGATATCTCCTCCCACACTCTCCCCGGTAAAGCCAATGGTTGTAGTAGTCCTCATGGAGACATGGCCATATACTTATTCCTTTGACAGACCTCGCAACTTGCTATCATCTCCTCAACATCCTTGTGCATCTTCTTCCAGTACAGCTCTGCTGCTAACCTCTTGTATGTCTTTTGCACCCCGGAGTGACCTCCCACAGCACTTCCATGAAATTCTTGGAGCAAATTTGGGATGTGGATCGAAGTTCGGGGCAACACGAATTTCCCTTGGTAAAGCAGTTTGTACCCTTCCAATGAGTACCCCTGGTGGCTCTCTTTTTCTTTCAGTAGATATAACCTTATCTTTCTCAGTCCTTCATCTCTTGAGCTTTCTTCTTGGATGGCTTTCCAATCTAGCATTAAAGGAACAGACAGTGCCACTGTCTGCAATTCCCCCATACATTTGGACAAGGTATCTGTCGCCTTGTTCTCCACCCCCGGCCGATACTGAATCTCAAAGTCGTACCCTAGTAACTTGAACAGCCACCTCTGTTGCTCCTCCGTCACCATGCGTTGTTCCAAAAAGTACTTCAGGTTTCTTTGATCTGTCCTGACAATGAAATGCCTCCCCAGTAGGTAGGGTCGCTACTTCTAGATGGCCAAAACGATGGCCATTAATTCTCTTTCATATACTGATTTCAGCCTGGCTCTGGCAGTCAACACCTGGCTGAAATAGGCGATGGGCCTACGACTCTGCATAAGAACTGCTCCCAGCCCATATCCTGATGCATCTGTCTCCACAATAAAGCTCTGAGTGAAGTCTGGAAAAGCTAAAATCGGCACCGTCGTCATCGCCTTCTTCAAGTTCTCAAACGCTGATGTGGCCATTTCCCCCATAAGAAACCATCCTTCTTCAGTTGTTTCGTGAGTGGCCACGCTATAGTGCTGTATCCTTTCACAAACCTTTTGTAGTAACATATTAGTCCTAGGAATCCCCTCAACTCTTTCAGGTTCTTTGGCACTGGCCACTTGAGCATTGCCTCAATTTTGGACTGATTTGTTGCTACCCCGTCTTTCGATACCATGTGGCCCAAGTAGTCTACACTGGTTTGTGTAAAGCTACACTTCTTTAAATTAGCCCTCAGTTGGTGCTCCTGTAGTACCTCTAAAACCCTTTTCAAATGTTCCCAGTGTTCTTCCTCTGTCTTGCTATAGATCAGGATGTCGTCAAAAAATACCAGCACAAATCGTCTTAAAAAAGGTTTGAAAACCTCATTCATCAGGGCCTGGAATGTAGCGGGGGCATTCGTGAGACCAAAAGGCATCACCAGGAACTCATAATGTCCTTCATGAGTTCTAAAAGCCGTCTTCGGTACATCTTCCTTCTTCATCTGGATCTGATGGTAGCCCGACTTCAAGTCTATTTTGCTGAAGATCACCGTCCCACTCAATTCGTCTAACAGTTCGTCGATGACTGGTATGGGTAATTTGTCAGGTACAGTCTCCTTGTTGAGCGCTCGGTAATCTACACAAAATCGCCAGCTGCCATCCTTCTTTTTCACCAACAGAACGGGACTAGAGAAAGGGCTGATGCTGGGTCTGATGATCTCTGCCTCCAACATCTCTCTGATCAACCGTTCAATTTCGTCTTTCTGGAACTGGGGGTAACGATAAGGGCGTACACTGATGGGTGCAATGCCTTCCTTCAGCACAATAGCATGCTCCCGCTCCCTCTGCGGGGGTAATCCCTGAGGTGGCTGAAACAACTCCTGGAACTGCTGAATCAATGGTTGAACGGAGAGGGGTATGTCTCCTCCCTCTTCCATTCTTGCTCCCTCCAGACTGTGCAATTCCACCAAATAGCCTCCTCCTTCCTCATGAATGATACTGATTAGGGATTTGAGAGAAACCCCGGCCTTGGTCAGCCCCGCATCCCCCTGAATCCTTCTCTTTCTCCCTCCAATCGTTAGTTCCATCCTCAGTGTACCCCAATTGATCTTGGTCTCCACCAAAATCTGCAGCCACTTCATCCCCAGGATGATATCAGTACTCCCCAATTCCAAGGGAAGAAAATCCTCCCTCACTTGCAGCCCTTGGATGGTCAAGACCACTCCCCTGCAAACCCCTCTTCCCATCTCCACCTTCCCCATGCCCATCATCACCCCATATCCTCCGGTATCGACTAGTTCCATTCCCAACTGGTCAACGATCTGGGTGGAAATGAAATTGTAGGTTGTCCCACTATCGATCAACACAACGACCTCGCGGTCAGCTATCTCTCCTCTCACTTTCATAGTGTGACTCGGGGTGAGTCCCACTACAGAGTTGAGGGAGACTTCTGCCACATCCAGGTGCAGCTTCTCCTCCTCCTCCTCTTCAGTCCTGCTCCTACCTCCCTCGTCTTCCTCGTCTTCACAGACTAGGAGAACCTGAAGAGTTCGGTCCTTGCATCTATGCCCCATCATGTACTTCTCATCACAACGGAAGCACACCCCCTTTGCTCTCTTTTCTTACATCACCTTCTCTGTCAACCTCTTGAATTGTCCCCCATTTCCTCCTCCACCAGATCTCTCCTTGGGCACCTCCCTCTGGTTCCCTGGGGCTACCCCTTTGGAGGGTAATACAGTAGTAGTCATTTTGTACGATCCCCCTGAGTAGTTGCCTCGAGCTCCTCTTTCTGATCTCTTCTAATTTTCCACCAATTGTGCAAGCTCCATAGCCTTGCGTAAGTTCCTTGGCTCCAGCACTCTGACAGTTGTTCGTATCTCCGGTTTGAGCCCCTTCATAAAATTTCCCTCCAAGGCCGATTCCGAGATGTGATCCAAACGGCTAGCCAAGTACTCGAATCTGTCCCGATAGTCAGCCACGGTCCCCTCCTGAGTCAGAGCAAAGAACTGCTCATAGAAGTCTCCTCCCCCATCGGCTCGGAAATGCTCTAATAAACAATCCTTGAACTCTCTCCAGTTCCTGATAGGCTCTCTCCTGTCTCGCCATTGATACCACGCCAACGCCTTCCCTTCCAGACACAATCCTGCCGCCGTCAGCTTCTCATCATCTGTCAACCCGTTGACTGCAAAATAACGCTCCACCTTGTATATCCAGTCATGGCCATCTTCACCCTCAAAGATGGGCATCTTCAACTTCCTCACATTTGGATCCCTTCCGTTACCCCGATACTCTCCATAACCTCCCATTCCTCGAAGAGGAGGTGCTCCCCAAGTGTCCCGGTCCTCCCTCCGGCGAAGGTATCCGAATCCGTCGTCATATTCCCCTCTTCCCCTTTCAAAATCAGCACCTCGACGCTGAAATTCTTCTCTTCTTCCACCAAAATCTGCACTTCCATCATATTCTCCTCTCCTGCCTTCAAAATCAGCACCTCGACGCCGAAATTCCTCTCTTCTTCCGCTAAAATCAGCACTTCTTCGATCATTTCCCATGCTCATCTCCTCTCTAGAAAGTGGCTCTAGAGGTGGCATGTCGTCTTCTCCCTCAAGGATCTCTACATCCGGATTCCTCCTCCCCCTAAGCGGGTTCGGATTTCCTCCTACGCCGTGATCCCCGGTAGTCTCTCTTGCTTCCGACGCCGTCGGATTAGTCTTCATCTCCAATAATTTCTTCATCATTTCTTCCATGGCCGTGAATTTTCCCTCCAACCTTTCGTTGTTGGTGGTGATTTGATTTTGAAATTAAAAAAATCTTTCCTCCAAATCGGTTTTCAATTGACCGACTTCGCCTTCCAAGACGGCCACCTTCTTTCCGGCCATCGTTCTTCTAACGGATCCCAAACATTCTTCTTCCGGAAATGAATAACTTGCTGAAATTTCAGAATTTCAGCCGCCGATGGTCCCAAATCGATGCTCTGATACCAATTTGATAGGAAATACTTGAGTTCGCAAGTAACCATAAGGTAATACTTGAGTTCGCAAGCAATCCTAATCCCAACCTGTGAAAATCTAACAGCGAAACTGCTGTGGACAGCAGTTTAACAGCAGGAAACACATAAAAATCTGAGAGAAAAGCAGTAGAACTCATAAGGAAACAAAGCAAACACTTTTATTTAAATAGAAGATGAAAAGCACTTGCAAGATACAACTTTCCTTCAATTCGAGAGGAAGGAAAAACTCTCCAACAATCTCCGGCAAAGCCAAGAGCCCAAGAACACCAATCCCTAGATCTCAAGATAATTCAAATTCAAGATAACTCTAAATCCCTCCAAAACTCCTAATTAAAGACAAAGGAATAATTCAAAATGCCTAAACAGTCCTTAGTTCAAAATATTTCTCTCCTAATCTTGCATTGAGCCCATGGTGGGCTCCACAAAGCTTCCGCCCCCAACATGGGGTTCCGCCTGGGTCTTTCTCCGTCTGGAGTAGACCCGGACCGGTCCCTCCTGGACCGGTCCAGCCGGCCCTTCCTGGGCCAGCGTAACAGAAATTAAATGGATTGGAGAGAAAGTTAAGGAGATTGATAGTTTAGGATTTAAACTATAGTATTCTAGTAGAAGTCGTGCTTGAAATGATGTAGGTGTGATTATAGATAAGAGTTAGAAGTATAATATTGTAAATATTAATAGAATTGGAGATATAATTATAGCTTTATAGATTGTTGTTGTGAACACGTTATATAGTTAGGGATTAAAATGGGCACCTAAATAATATAGTCCATGTACTGTTTTAATTTTTTTATCATTTTGTTTACTACATTCAAGTGAAATTGAGATGCATTCCAACTAATAAACATTTTATATTGTACATTTATTTTTCATTAGATATTTAGTTTCACAATTTCAGTCATATAATTGGCCTACACAATCTCTTCCTAATACTTCATTTGTTTATATTCTTCAGATATCAGGCGGGTGGAGACATACAATGGCTCTCACATCTGATGGAAGGTTATACGGCTGGGGATGGAATAAGGTTCTTAGAAAAAAATAATCTTTATTTACTTCATAAACGACCAATATTCTGTGGTTGCTTTGTATAAAAAAATTAAAAAGGTTCATTCAGAAGGTCATGCAATTCCTTACTAGGGGTTTGTTGCATTTGAAATCTACTTGGATATGTTCCTAATTGGAGAGATATCCATGTAATATTCTAATTTATGACAAATAGAGTTTTACACAAATTGCTTGCCCTCTTCTAGTAGGTTTTACTAATTATAGAGAAGAAAATAAGAGACGTACAAGGTAGTGATTGAGTGATTTACTCAATTATATTTGTCCTAATGAGATAGAAATTAATCATTATGAATATTTATAGTTATACTAATTAATACATTTCTACCCATAATTTATAAATAATAATTGATACGGTAGTTAATATTAATAAATGCATATATCATTTGATATCTTCTCTCAAATTACTGCTGGTTTTACAAGAAGCACTAATCTTCATATAAGTGGGGGAAAAACGAAGTATTAAATGGCTTATAAAGGGGAAACTGAAAAGACATCTTTTGGGAATTAAAATCGGCATGGGGAACACCAAAAGGCCTCTTTTGCCTACATCAAAAAGTTAGGAAGAGCAATAAGTTTTTTTCATATAAGTCGTGGCCTAAAATAAAGCATCAACATGAAACAAATGACGTACATGGCTAATTAAAGTCAAATCTATTCTGGTAATGATAATGCATCAACATGAACTAGAAGAAGTCTACTTCCAGTGAAGATTTTATAGAGAAATACTGTTGAAAGAAAGAGTATTGTACAAAAGAAAAAGCTAAGTTGGGTTATTCAAATTTTATCAAACCCATAAATGAGGAGCCTATTTCAATTAATACATGGAATGCTTCAGTCTGTATACTTCTATAGGAGGAGAGATGGGAATAGTAGGTGGGAGAGCAAGGTAGATCTCTTCTTTGAGATCACCATGAAGAAGGATTTTCATTACATTGATTTTGTTTATTGGCCATTCTTGTGAATCCATCTTATTTTCTTACTTGTTACTAAGGATGACCGAATGTGCTTTGTAGCGATTTAGGGTACCATTAGTGCCAAGTTTGATTTAGTAAGCTTATTTGCATCTTATGGCTTTAATATTTGGGTGACTTTAAATTGTCACCCTTGTATGATTATATTTGAGAGCCCGAAGTTATTTAGCAAGTGCCTCTTTCCAATAATCATATTTACGAGCCTCTAAATAGCTTGAAGGAATAGGAATCGAGGCTAATATAATGTGAAAGCCATATCAATTTAGAGAGAAGTATTTTGGAAGATTATCTGGGAGTGGTGTTAGGAGTGAAAAACGTGACTAAAATCTTGTTAGCTGGCTTAGGTGGTTGATCAATGCACAGACTCAGGTGACGAATTAGTTGATCAATGCACAGACTCAGGTTACGAATTAGTTTGTGCAGGCATGACAAGCAAATTTGGTTCAAGATACAGTAGAATTGAATGTTTTTGTTCATACATGAATCCTATGTTAAATCATTTATGGCTAGAAATTTGTTCATCAAAACAAAAAATAACAGATTTCTTGTAGGGGCTTAACATTACTATGGAAGAAGAATTGATGTTTAAGGAAAACTACATAACAAGATATTCAAAATATTTTGGAGTTTGGATCATAAATCATAGCCTTTGTGAGAAGTGCTATAGCCCAGAAATGTGCATTTAATAACTTATGTTGAAAGTTTATGGTGTTCATGTGTTGATAAATGAATAAGTAATGCTTTAATCCATAGTTTAGATGAAATTTAAGATTTCGGCAATAAAGTTCAAACATCTAAAAGGTGGTCGTTTTTACATTTACCAACATCATTTTATTGAGGTTTTTAAGGACATGATATCTAAAAAGTAATTCCTTTTAAGAAAGCCATGAACTTCATGTCGCATATATTCACTTTAGTTGTTGAATCTTACTATTTTGATGTAGATTAAAATTGAGTATCAACATAAGCGATGAATTTTTAAAACAATGAATGCTTCTTTTTTTTTTTAACTAAAAATGTAAATTCAGGTATACTTGTTGTAATCACTGATAAATATTTTAAAATATTTATAATTTATGCAATATAATAGAATGATACACCATGCATCATTATAAATCAATTCATAATAATTTTTAGCATGACTACTATGTGAGGGAAAAGATAGTCTCATGTTTTTCTCACCATTTTGCCCATCGAGCACTAAATTAAGAATGAAAAGTGAATTGATCTTTCTTTGCCAATAACCCATAATTTATTAAATGAGAAAAAATAGCAAATTCATATGATTTAATTTTTTGTGCTAGAGCACATTATTTTAATTTACTATAATATACAAATCAATGAAATCATCTTATAAATAGAAGGTTGTAAGGGAAAAATTGTCTAATATTAGGCCTTTTATGAGTATTTTTCCCATCAGTTAATCCCACACAATATAACCATCACGAGAAAATAGAATAATTATTATCAATTAATTGTTCAACTGATATGAGATTAATAGAGAGCTTCAAAGATATCCTTATATTTTTCATTGAATGATTAATGTCCCCAATAACTTTAATAGGTAATTGACTATCATTACCAATATGAATAGATGATGATCCATGCAATGATTGAATATTATGAAGAAGAAGTTATATTATTCATATGATTATAAGCACTAGAATCCACAAGCCAAGATGATGAGTGCTCATTCATACATGGGAGCTCTAAAGCTGGTAGAGCTTTAATTATTATCAGTAGAACTAGTTTAAGAGTATCTTTAGGTTTATGCAGAACTACGAAACCTACAACTTGATTTGTAACAACTACTTGTTTAGAATTTAGTTTTTAGTTATTGATTTTGAGGATGTTTCCTACATTCCTTAATAATGTGCACAAAAAATTGTCAAATTGTTTTTCACATGTTGACCCCAATACTAGTGTCGGGATCGCATCGACCGCACAAGGTGAGTTTCGAAAGCAAAAGAGCGCGAAATCGTGCAAAAACTCACCCGACGCGTGTCGACTGAAAATCCAAAATCATCGAGACGACCTCCGTTCACGAAACGGACAGCGCCGATGTGTCCAGAGCAACGGAAACAGCTAAGATCGACACCCATATTGATGGGGGTCGTCGGTCGGCGAAAATTTAAATTTTGGGCGCGCGAATCGAGGCAACGACGTGTGGGCGAAAAAAAAAACTCGATGTTAGATTAAAAAAAATATTTTTAATGTGCAATTTAATTAAAAAATTTTAGAAAAAGAGAGAAAGAGAGCTTTTAAATAAAAAAAAAAGATTTTTTATAAATAAAAAAATCCCTAAAATACCCCTCACTTAAACCCTCACACTCTCATATCCCCCAAACCGGCCCCCTCTCCTCATTTCACGCCATTTTCACGCAAGAAGGCCGGCCTCCCTCTCTTCTCCTCCTCCAAGCAAGGTTTCTCACTGTCACCGCCATCCGTCGTCGCTGCCTCGATTACTGCACACCTAAGGTAAAAAGCCCGACACTAGTGTTTTACATTTCTACGTTTTTTTTAGCGGGCGAGGAAACTTAAGTACCCGTAACGCTCTGAGCGAGCGGGGAAATTCGTATGCATGAAACTTAAGTACCCGTGACCACTTTTTTTAGCTGGCGGGAAAATTTGTTATTTGTAAAAAAAATTGTTTAATTAAGTACCATTCACTGCTTTTATGCTGAGAAAATGCTATACTTTAAATATGTGCTCAAAGACCTCATGATCGCTTTTGTTAGCAAGCGGGGATTGGAACTGCGGTCGTGGTGTCACCCGACACTTACCGTGACTGCCTTTCTTGGCAGGCGGGATGGCCTTACACACTCCGATGCAGCCCCCTACGTGGGGACGACGCTGGAGTGCTGTCAAAATTTTCAGCAAAACCTATAACTTAGAAAATTTTTTTAAAAAAATTAAAATCCACTTAAAAGTTTTAAGTTAACAAAAAAAAAAATATACGACACCCTAGGCTCCCGACACTGAAAGACAAATACAAAAGAAATATAAATCAATGTGAAATGCAACATACAATGAGTCTTCAAGGGAATTAGTTGTTCGCCAATAGGTAGGAATCAAGCCCCTTCCTCTTAACTCATGACTCGCACACCTAAGTCCCTCACCAAAAGTTCCTTACAGAAATGGGATGGGAAGAAATGAGTTGAAACCCCCTTATATTTATAACATTGAGTTTGAATTATTCGCGGGCCCCACTAGCCTAGGATCCCTTTGCTACAAGACAGGGAAGGTACACCTGTGGGCCCCACCAGCCTAGGATCCTTTTCTAAAGGATGGAGAATGTACACCTGTGGGCCCTACAGCCTAGGATCCTTTGCTAAATGATGGAGAAAGTACACCTGTGGGCCCCATCTACTTAGGATCCTAAGATGCCATTTCGAGACTCTGGCATTGGATTCCTAGAGTATTCACTAGCTGGTGAAATACGAACGTAAATACGAATTTAAATACAAGTGAATACGGTTGGTAATTATGTTAAAAAAAAGGAGGGGGTAAAAGTAAAAGTAAAAGTAAAAAAAAAATTATATTTCCTATAAAACGCTTGTGTTCATTGTAAACACGTTGGAATTCCCGCACATCCCCGATAATTTTCTGGTTGAACCCTTTATGATAAAAATGCCCGTCACATTGCAAGTCACGGGTGCTCTAAATAACGTGCGCGCCAGCTGTTAAAGTTAGACGGCTCGTACAGCCCGTGAACATATGTCTTCAAAAAGAAACAAAATAACGCACTCTTATGTGTCACGGGTTGTACGACCCCTAATTAAAGTAGGTACATCACCACTTGAAAGTTTGTCGCCTACGAGCAAGGCATGAGATTAGTTAGTGCACTACGATCCACCTGTAGAAAATAACAAGTAGTGTACGACAGTCTACCTGTACAAAGAAGCAAACAATTCAATTCATAAGCTGCTACAACCCGCCACCGGATCTGTAACGTTTGTACAAACAGACAGAAGGCGTACACAATCTCTCAAATGAAATATTGTGTGCATTCAAATTGCAATTACATGCATAACTAAAATATTTTAAAATCCCCTGCACCTACACCGTTGTTTGTATACACATAGGTACACTAAAGGGGAAAATACGATCTTGACCCACATGGCCCCGGCGAGCATGTTATTGGTACACACATGACGCCTAGGGATGCTGCGTGGGTCGATAAGTGAATTCAAGTTCGAACCTGATCCTTCTATGCAGATCAATAGGAGTCGGCAGGGTTCGAACCTTCAAACAAATACACATGGTTGTGGGGACCGATGTAGTTATTTTAATACATTCATATTAGGCCTTCAAGACCTATAATCAATAGAATTCACTAACAAATGCATGAAGCCTATGAAACCCGATTCCCTATCAACAAGCTGATAGGGTAGACAAGGTTTAGTCAATGAATGACCCCACACTTTGATGATGGCCGTGTTGAATGTGAATCTCAACCGTAGGGGTTAATCTCTCAGATATTTCAAAATGCCCTAAAACTTCTATAAAATTCAAATTCCCCAAAAATCCAAAAAAAAAAAATCATCAGGCCCTAAGATGTTAAATTTGAAACTAATCATCAAAACATTTAAGGCAAAATTCATCCACCCTCCGCAACAGTTTGCCGGGGTGAACAAATTAAAATTTACTTCAGCTCACAAAGAGCCAAATGCCTAGTCGAAAATATCACTAGGATCCATTATCAAATAATCTCCTGCTAGTAAGGACGTGGTACATGTCCTCTAATCGGAGGTTTTGCCGTCAAATGGCACCGCAAGATAAACGGTTATGACCTGGGGCCCTCTGAACCGAGTGGTTTTGTCACCAAATGGCACCACGAAGTACTGGTTATGGCCAGAGCCGATATGATCCTTATTGGCATCAAATCATTGAGATATGAATCAATAGGATATGATTGACAGGGCACGAAGCCCTCTGTCAGCTAAGGTGGATTCAAATTTGTCCCCTTAGGCAAATATTCATCCCAGGTCTACAAGGTACCCTTGGACGAAGCAACCCATGGCTGCCGACAAGGATCCTTCTGTCAGGTTGGGTCGACTACCTCCTCTGATTAAGTAGACCAGGGACCACGATGGCCCGGGACGACGGAACCATGGGATCTTGATCGGGTCCATCATCAATTCCCCCACCATCCGCTTTAAGTGCCAGATGGTAAAATTTCTACTTTTAAATATATCAAACCCTTCAAATTTCAAATACCCATGCTGCTACTATATGCCAGATAACACGTATATTCTACGTATCTGATCGACGACTAGCCTTAATCGAAAGTTTTCTCTCGTGATCGGGAGGGGTAATTTACTATAGGGGCTTACGCCTATAGGAAACCAGAACTCAGATTATAAAGTCCTCGCAAAATGAGGGCGAAATCTATGGGTAGTGTCTTATCTACAATCCCATATGCCTTCCAAAATTTACCCCGGAACTTAATCCGTTAAAACTCCCTCGCCGAATAAAAAGAAAAGCGGGGAGGCCGGGACCGAATTTTCGGAGCCCACATCACAATTAGCAACAACTTGTCCACAGCCCTTGCCAGTGAAGCATTGTATCTATTGCATAACATTTCCTTTATTTTCTTCATGGGTTGCATATGCGACAATATTCTCGTGCACTTGATGTTGTTGATGTATGATTTGTGTTGCAAATCGTTGTTTAAGAAGTGAATTTACGTGGTTGAAATGGACTTGCGTTGGATTGCATGGGTTGTGGATTTGCAAGGTCGCAACAGACTCGTGCACGATCAGGGGTTTGATGAGGCAATGTGGTATGTTAGTGAGTGAACGATAGGCCACAAGGTAAGCAAGGCTTCGACAAGTCGGTTACTCTAAAATCTTTACTGGGATCCCTAAGTGATCTTCATAGAATTGGAGGTTGACAAACAACAGGATCCTGATGGATCCTTACACAAGATCCTCAAAGGGATCTTCACAAGGCTTACGAGTGAAAGACAAGATAGAAGTTTGAATGTTGACTCGAAAACCAAAACAAATAAAGCTATGCACAAATTACTTTCCATCCTCTAGAGCGTTCTTCTCATTATATAGAAGAAAATAGGAGAAATATATGGCTGTGATCGAGTGATTTACTTTTTGATTTTTCGTAATAAGACAAAATATTTCTTTTCCTAATATATTGATATTTACAGTTATACTGATTAATTATACATATTTCTTGCCATACCTTATAAGTATTAATTGATTCAGTTATAAATGCTAATACATTTACCATATCTATAATTTAATAAATGCGATATTAATAATTAATAATTAGAAAAGAAATGATACAAAAATTTGATTCCTCGTGGATCTTTCATATAGAAGAATTATTTAAAGGATGAGATTTTAACTTCTAGTAAGTTATTATTCAAACCTTAAGGTAAATTTTATAATGATGCAATTAGACCCGTTAGGTAGAATTGTTCGAACAGCTTGACCCTCACTTGCACAGATTTTGAATTTTGCTTGATGTGCTAATTGTCACTTGGTAATCTTTCTTGAATAGTTTGGACAACTTGGCGTTGGTGATAATGTTGATCACTGCTCTCCAGTTCAAGTAAAATTCCCTCAGGACCAGGTATGATCTTATTACTTTAAATTCATTCTTCTGTTGCAGAGAAATATTTGATTGTGACATAGTGTCGTTATTACCCTTAGAAATTAGAGGTTGGAGAGTTTGATGCAGTCCCGATAGCTCTTTAAGCATTTTTTCTATTAGTTAAATCTGTTATCTTGGTTCATTTTTTTCTTTTACATTTTACAGAAGGTTATCCAGACGTCTTGTGGATGGAGGCATACTCTTGCTTTGACAGAGAGTAAAAATGTGTTTTCATGGGGCAGAGGTACTAATGGTCAGCTTGGACATGGGGATACTCTTGACAGGTACTTTAATTAAGAGCTATTTTAATGGTTCAATACAATCTTAGAACTGAGTTTTAGATGTCCATATCTGTTTTTTTTTTTTTTTTTTCCAATATGGTTCAGGTTATATATCTAACCATATAACCTTACCTTATTAAAAAACAATTAAAAGAAATGGACATCCGAAACTCAATTTTATTTGCGTAATTTTTTCAGCCTATAGAGTAGCTAATTTTCTAATCTGTTTTGTATCCAATGCGACAACCTTCAGTTTGAAAAATGAAAGATGTCTAACTGTATATGAAATAGGAAATTTTGGTTGATTATGTTCGGTAAAATTGTTTATTTTGAATTCTGTAGAAAATTTTTAAGGATATATTTGTTACAAATCCTTATTTTCTATTCAACTCTGTTTATTGATGTTCGAGGTGTAGTACTTATTCTTTACTAATCCAAATTCTTTTGCGTTCTTTCGTATCCATGGGTAGATTGATCCATAAAATTAGAAGAAGATAATTAACTGACTGTTGTCAACAAGAGTTAAATGGCATATAAAAGTACGAAACTTTCAATAACATTGTTTATTTTCCTAGTTTCTGAATTGTGTAGAACATCTGTTAAGTTCTGTAGGTTATGAATCCTTATTTTTCATTCATCCATGTTAATTGGTGCACTAGGTGTTAATTTTATTTATTTTTTAACAAAAGGATCAAAATGGCCATTTGACTCTTTATGAAGGACCAAAATGGTTCCCAACTATATTAAAATATTTTTTTGGTCCCTTAAGGCTTTAAAAAGGAATCCGAATTGTCTTATGGTAGGACTTTTTTTTTTGTTCTTTTTTGAGGAATTGAGAGACCAAAATGGTTATTTAATATAATTGGAGATCATTTTAGTCTTTCATAAAGAGTCATGGATCATTTTGATCTTTTTTTAGTTTAACATTTTGAATAACTTCAATCCATGCAATTTTAGTTCTAATTATTCTCGTTCTTGGCCCTTAAAAGATAATTTTATGTATCATTTAGTTGATGCATTTTTAATTCTTCTTTATTCTTATCCAAATCATATCTATTTTCAATTATCTTATATAAATATCACTACATCCATTATTCTTATATAATTGTTAGAGGAAAAAGGATATTTTGGTGTTTTTTCAGTAGAGAACCCCTTATATATAATAGGAGAATGAGTACAATATTAGATTGCTAGCGATATTGATGGTGACATAATCATTATAGTATAAAATTATATGTTGTGTAATTGTAAACCAAAATCCTGAAGAAGAGCTTTTGCTTATATCATTTCATAGTCGGTGTGAGCTATACCTTGTAATATTCTTAAACTTTAGATCTAGCTACGACTATTTGCTTCTTTCCTCTCTACCTCACATTATTTCCATCAACATGTATACAATATCTAGAAGTTTACTTTTTATATGTCCAACATCGCTTGTTAGTTTTGGACTTTAAAATGAAGGGGTAGAAAATAAAAAATAAAGTAAATCATTATTCTAGGATTAGATGGGGGCATTTAAAGAATATTAACAAAAATATTTTTGAGAGTAAGATTCTAAATCTTAAGATTTTGTTTGTGCATGAGAAAGCTAATGTTATGTAGGAAAAAGTAGCTAGTGATATTAAGAATATTGCAAAAGATATATTTGAAGTATCAAAGGAAAAAATAATTAATAGTAAAAATAGTTGGTGGTGGAATCAAAATATGTAAGAAAAGATAAAAAATAAGAAGATTTGTTATATGAATTGGTTTAGTTGTAAAAATTCTGATAATTATAAAATATATAAAGTGGCTCGTAAGGAGTCTAAGAAAACAATTTGTAATGCAAAGATTTTAGCTTTTAATGATTTATAAAATAGATTAGATACTAAGGAGGGCGAAAGATATATGTATAAGTTAGCTAAACAAAGAGATATGAGTAGTAAGAATTTAATTCAAGTGAAGTGTATTAAGGATGAAGATCAAAGTTTTAATCAATGACCTTGAAAAGCAACAATCTCCTCAAACTATCTGGCCACTGATCCGTTCAAGTCAATGGTTCATTAAATAATGTAATACATGCAGAATTATCCATTGAGATTTGTTTGAGAAAAAGATCAAAATGATTCCTTGACTCTTTATGAAGGAATAAAATAATCCTCAACTATATTATGACTAATTCAATCTTTTTCTCATACTTGTTTTAATGATGTTAAATATAATTTCTAGTTTTGATCTTGCATTTGATGATCTAAATATGGAAATCCAATTGGGCGGAGAACAATGATTCTCCTTCTAGGAGGAGAAAAGTCTCTCTCTCTCTCTCTCTCTCTATATATATATATAATATTCGCTTTTCTTATATATCTTTTCTTGCATGCCTGAAAATCTTCTTTAAGATGTTCAGAAGGTATGTAAAGTGCATAGTACATGGGATGCATAATATTATGGTGAATCCCTTCGGTGCTGGGAAAAGGCTTGTTGCACGGAGGAATGGTGTTCTCAGTATAGTCCTTATTCTCTGTTGAGGAGTTCAGTTGCTTTCTTTATCGAAATATTTGTATTTAGAGGTACAAATCATTAATAAAAGTTATTATTTTGGCATCTTGAAGGAATACACCAAAGATCATTGAGGTTTTGAGCTCCGATGGTTCAAGCTGCAGCCAGATACCATCCTCTAGAGCAGATCCACTACAAGGTTTGTGAGCTCATGCCATTTCCTGTCAAGAAGAATATTAGAGAAATTTCTATCCTTATAAATTACCCTCTTTATAATAAAAGGGCATTACTTTTAAGAATTGATAGTCAAATCCTCGTTGTTTTTATTTCTTCTTAAATTAAGGACTGGAAAAATACAACAACAACATCAAGTCTTTATCCCACTACGTGGGGTCGGCTATCATGAATCCTTTTTCTCCATTGTGTCCTATTAAAAGTCAAATTCTCGTTTAAATCTAATAAAGAAAGGTCATTCCTAATATTTTCTAACCAAGTCTTTTTAGGTCTACCCCTACCTTTCTTAACATAAGTCAAATCTAATACCTCAACTCTCCTAACCGGGTCATCGCAAGGCCGCCGTTTTATGTGACCAAACCATCTAAGGCGACTCTCTCTAATCTTATCTTCTACTGGAGCTACTCCAACCTTTTCACGTATATGCTCATTTCGTATCCTATCTCTAAGGGTAAAGCCACTCATCCACCTGAGCATCCTCATCTCTGCCACACTTAACTTAGTATTATGCTTCTCTTTTAATGGCCAACATTCGGCACCATAAAGCATTGCAGGCCTCACTGCCATCTTATAGAATTTTCCCTTAAGTTTGAGAGGTACATTTCTATCACATAACAAGCCCGATGCATTCCTCCACTTCAACCATCCAACTTGAATTCTGCTGATAATATCCCCATCTATTTCACCATCACTCTGAACAATAGATTCAAGATATCTAAAACGTGTACTCTTATTAATGACTTGATCGCCCAAAGTTACAATCCCCTCACTAGGTCTATTACTACTAAAATTACACTCCATATATTCCTTTTTAGATCTACTCAAGCGAAAACCTTTAGACTCTAAGGTTGACCTCCATAAAATAACTATTCTAATTATATTTTATTTAGTCCTCGGAAGAATTGATAGAGATTTTTTTCTTTCTTTTGAACAAAAGTAATCTTGCTGGGATCTGCACGGTATCAGTTGGGTTTCATGCATATCAACTATCAAGGTCGGTATTAAAGCTTCGGTTGGGACGGTTTTTACTGTTTCTTAAAGTAGTTTTTACAATTTTATATTTAAAAATTGCTTTAAGAAGTAAGAAAGTCGTCCAGACGAAACTTGTGTAGATTTTTAATGTTTTTGGCGGTAAACATTTAATTTATGCCCTCAAATTATAAAATTAACTTATGTGCTTCTGCTGCGTCATCTTGTTAAGGAAGATTCCTTGCAAGGGAGCTTGCATGGGATTCCATTCAGGGTTCTTAGCATCTTGGAGGGTAGTAATCAGTATAGTTGTTTTTTTATAAATAAATGAAAATTATGAGTGCTAGAATTTTTTTTTAAATAGAAATTTCTCTAAATTATATTCCTTCTTAATCTTTCCTTGTTGGAAATGCAATAACTTTGCGTTATGTTGAACAGGAAAGGTCTGGGTTTCACCATCTGAAAGATATGCGCTTGTTCCTGATGAGGCGGTTAGTAGTGCTATTTTTTTTTTTTCAACTTTCTTGTTGGAGATTTTAAATTTAAATCTCACCGTCCACTTTTAAGAGCTCTGCAGCAGCAAGACTCCGAGGAAGAAATCGAATGTTTTGTTTGGGATAACTTTCTTACTGTTTTAATTTTTAGATCTCAACCGTAACTTTTCATTTGGCCACTATTTTTTTATTATTTTGAAAAAAACTTTGTATTTCTACAACAACTTTTTAAAAAATTTTTCTTTACAATATTTTTATAATCATCTTTGCAAAAAATAGCAGTAGTCTCAAACAGACTTGAAGGCTGGAGAAATTATTCTGTGTGGACACCGGACCGTCCGAAGTCGAATCACAATTTATCACATCATACGGTGCAGTATATCGCAAATGGGTGACGTTGCGCATTTTGATTCGCCTCTGGAAGGCATCCGTAGTGGCACAGAATAATTTTTACCCGTTGGGGGATTCAAGCAGAGTGTGCATATAAGTAGCATGTAAAAATATATTTGATCAAATTAAATTGTGAGTTCTGTGGCCTTTTTGCAGGTTCCAAATCAGGCAACAAGCTTAGCGGAAGCAGATGTACCAGAGAATGACGTTAAGCGGCTGCGCCATTAGTCAGTATGTACTCTTTATCTTTGTTTTAAAAAAAAAAAGAAGAAAATTAGTGTATTAGCTGATGTTAAGAAGATGTTTGTGGTTTTCTCGAGTCTTGCTGTCTGATTGCCAGTTGAAGTTTGTTTTACTCTTTCTTTTTGACAGTATGTGATGATATTTAAAACTATAAAACTTATTTGATTAATCTTATTGAGAGCACATTTTTTTGCTTGTTTTATTCAAAGTTTGTTTATACCCCTTCATTATAGATTGGCTATGTGGGGGACTTTTGTTATCAGTTAGATTTGTTGGTTGGTAGTCTTGTAGATAGGGCTGCAAGCGAACCAAACGTTCGACGAGTTACTCGTTGTTCGGTTCGAGTAAAGCTCGTTTGCGATTGTTTAATTAACTAAACAAACAAACTTGAACAATATTTTAAATACTCGATTCTTAAATAAACAAATGAACATGAGCCAGACATGAACACTCAATTTACATGAACACAAACGTTAAAGCTCGAACAAATATGAACCAAACTTGAACAAGCTGATATTAAATGAATACAAACATGAATACTCAAATACTCGGCTCGGCTCGGTTCGTTTTCAGCCCTATTTGTAGATTGAATCTCTCTCTCTCTCTCTCTCTCTCTCACAATTTTAAGTCACATAAAAAATATGATTAAGATTAATTTATCCAAAATTAGTTATTTTTTATATGTTTTGATGTGATTTAGATGTTATAATAATATAAAAGTTTAGGTGTTATATATATAAATATATAAAAGTTTTATAGTTATGTAAGTAAATCTTATTATTATTATTATCCATAAACTTGAAATCATGAATCATTTTTTTTTGGACGTTTCAATTGAGATTTTATTGTTTCATCTGAATTTGAGTGGTTTCTGTTCTTCAAACTTCTTTTCGTATATCTTTGGGATTTTTTTGTACTGAAATTGGTTGGGAGTTTCAGTGCTTACAGTGCTTTGTTTGAATAAAGATATATAATCAATGAAATGGATTGATTTTGGACAGCTTTAATCGGCCATGCTCTTAGTATCTTGCATATGAGCTGAGCATGCCTTTTTACGTGAGTAGAATGATTATTTCCTTTAGTTTGGAGTCTACTATTTTATTTGTTTTTAATATGATGGTGGTCGGTGGTGGAGAAGGTATTGGTAGTCGACATCTGTTGACGGTGTCCGACAATGGCTGGTGAATGCCAGCGTGATTGGCGGCGGCAAATGGCGTCAGCAGGGATGAATGAACATGGAGATGATGACGGCAGGTGGTAGCGGTAGACAATAAAAATAGCATTTTGGTGTATTTGAAAATTGTTAAAATTTGATGAATTTCAGATGCACCAAAATGACACAAGAGGTTGAATTCCAAATATATTTAAAATTTTTATGTTTTTTTTTTTTACTTCAAATCAAATATCAATATTTTCAAAACTCCTGAAATATTTTATATTTATTTTACTTCAAAATAAATAGCCTCATAGAGGCCTATATTAAAAAATAATTTATTTTAATTATTAAATTATATTTATGATATGTTCTCAAAAATTTATCTTGATCAGGCAAGAATCTCGAGGTAAAAGGCTATTTGGAAACTTCAAAGATTAAATTCAGGAGCAATTGAACTCCGATTTCAACAAGCTTATAGTAAAACTGAGCGTCTCAGAGATGCAAACCAAATGACATTGAATTCAACCCAGTTCGAGCCCAAATGGGTCCGAATCAAGGACCCGAAGCGCTGTTGGAAGGTTCAAACCGCAATTTGAGTTACCAAACGGTCTCCGATTTTAATGAGCTTATACTCGAATCGAGCGGTCGACGAGACGAATCCAACGAGCCCAAGATCGCCGAATTCCGACATTATTAAGGCCTCCAAATGTCCAACGAATTGTGCACG